CTATCGAACCAGACAATGTCTTCTGAGGAAAGCCCCATTAGACGCTCAGACCATTCAACTGTACGTGCAGATTCAACAAAAGGACCCTTCTTGGGCATATGGCTCTCAAACCACATATTCAGCAAAGGTACACAATAATGGACATTTTTCCCCCTTCTGTTTTCATTCTTATAATGCAAGGAATGATAGAAGTCTCCAATCAAGGTAGGCACCGGGTTGCCTGCAGCAAACAAGTGGAATGCATCCAAATCAACGAATTCAGGCAGATTAGGGAACAGTATAATCCCATAGATACACAAGGCAAGAACAACGTTAAACACGATCCAGCAGCCACTTTTGGCATATTCTTGAGCTTTGCCAACCAAGAACTTGAGAGAACCCGGAAACTCCATGCTAGGAAGTCAACAACAGCTCTGCAGGATCCATATGCAAGGGAACAACTAAGTCTTCCAGCTTAGGCTTAGCATCAAAGTGAATGAAGGGCACTCTGTTCTGAACTGGCAACTCTAGAAACTCAGCGTACTCCTCCATGGTCGGAGCCAAAATGAAGTCCTGGAACACAAAACACCTCAAGGAGGGATCATATAACTGCATCAATGTATATAACCCATTCAACTCGTATGCGGTTGGTCTGCAAACCAAACTCAGCAGCTTCCCATAACTCTTTCTAAAACTTCTCTTCACATCATCGTCAGCTAGGGAAATCAGACCCAACAGAGGAGTCACGTCAGGGGTAGGCAACTTATACGCAACAGTCTTCCTCAAAGTACTCATGGTGACAGATAGAAGTCCGGATCACTAGGATCGGGAAGTATGAAAATGCACCTGCAGCACAGATGTTGCTACTCGAAAAAATGCGTCGCGCAACGACGGGGAGGCGAGAAAGATAGACAGAAGAGTCGCCACCGAACTTTATTTATCCCATGAGGGGAAAGGAAAATATCGAGAAAACCTTAAGAAAAGAATGGATAAGATGGTCTCGCAACCATGAACGGGTTCGGAAGCCGGTTATGCGAGGGGAAGGTATTAGCACCCCTCGCATCCATCGTACTCGATGGGAACCTTTTGTTTGTCGATGTGTGAATTTATTTGCTAAAATATTATGCTATAAAAAGTGTTCCACGGGGTAAAAGAAGGGTTAGAAACAAGAAAGTAGGAGGAAAGAGAGAACGGGGAAGAAAAGAGAAAGAACAGACTCGGTAGGACTTCGCAGTCCTATGCCTACGTATTCTCAATAGATGTGAGAAAGTCAGAGTCGACGTAGTTCGGGGAACTACAGATATGAGGGGAATATGCTCGGCAAGGATTGTGGCCCTTGTGCCTACGTATCTTTACTTGAGAAAGTAAAGAATCAGAGCAGCCGTAGTTCGGCCTACGGTGTGCAGGGAAGTCTTGGTAGACGCTGCTATCGCGCGCATTCTAGCAGTTAGGTATTTTGTTGCTCGCTCGTTGGAGACTTAGGCGTTACCTGTTTGCGGTAGAACGGACGTAGCATGCGTTTCTGGGAAAGGGTGAAAAAGAAAAAGGATGCTCGCTAAGATTGTTGCAATCCTATGCCTACGTATTCTCAATATGCATGAGAAATCAGAGCAACGTAGTTCGTGCCTACGGTGCGGATAACCGGTGTGTTTTGTGGATGATGTTATCGTACGCGTTCTAGCAGTTTAGGTGTTTTGCTGCTCGCTCGTTTGGAGACTTATGCGTACCTGTTTGCGGTAGAACGGACGTAACATATCCTTTGGGAGACTGGTTTTCGCCATGCGAGGCAAGGCGTCACGTTTGATTGGTTGAATTGTTTTTTAGGGGCGAGATAGGTCCTCGGATAGTAACCCCTTACGGGTAGTACCCAATTCTTTATCTTAAAGTTTTTGTTATAAAAGGGTGTGGCGAACGAGGCGTCTTCGTATTGAAAGACGAGCGTCGAAACCACCCTCACTACAGTGGGCATCCCTACGCTCGGAGAAGAAGAGGTCTACACCCAATCCTCTCTCTTTAATTCAATGCAAAGAGAACTTCATTCTCTTATTAAAGATGTTTTTGGTTTTGAATGGTAAGTGCTTTGCGACAGAGAACCCTACGGTAAACGTCAGCACTCGGGATAGGAGAAGGCCTACGCCTAACCACTCCACGACCATTCAAGTTTTTGTTATGAAAAGATTTGAAAATGCACTCGGTACAGGACCGAGGTTTTAGGTGTGAAAAAATGTGGAAGGAAGTTGTGAAAGCGAGATGGTGGATAAAGTCGCGTCTTCGTATTGAAAGACGAATATCAAGACCACCCTCACTACAGTGGGCATCCCAACATTCGGAGAGGAAGAGGTCTACACCTAATCCTCTCTTTTTAATTCAGTACAAAGAGAAATTAGTTCATTATTGAAAGTGTGCTCGGTACGGGACCGAGGTTTTAGGAGGAAAAGTTTAGAAGCGTCTTCGTATTGAAAGACGAGCATCGAGACCACCCTCACTACAGTGGGCGTCCCTACGCTCGAAGAAGAAGAGGTCTACACCCAATCCTCTCTTTTTTAATTCAATACAAGGATAATTTGATTTTGAAAATTGTTTGACAAAGTTTTTGAATCGAGTCGGGACAAGTAATGAAGAGAAAAAAGAGGTGGTCTCAGATCCAACATTACTCATCAATAATTTGACTGGTAATGAATTACAGAGGTCTCGTCATCGACCAAAAACAAAAAAACAAAAAAATGCCCAATAACAAAAGAGAAATAAGATCAACTCTAAAAATAAAAATATTCAAAAAGATAAATTAATAAGACTTCTAAATAAAATTGAAATTTAAAAATGGATAATATACATAAAAACTCTAGAAATATATAATAGAAATTTTAAAATAAAATAGAGTAATAGAATAGTATATATATACAAACTCTAAAAGGAATAATATACAAAAATCTAAAATATAAACTATAAGTATATTACCTAAAATAAAATAACAATGTATATAATATATTTACAAAATTCTAAAATATAAAAAGAGTATTTACAATTTATTTTAAATAAAGCAAGAAACAGATTAACAAACTTAAAGAAAAAAAGGCTAAACAAAGGGGTGGTTTTAAAACGGATTGGGGGTGCAGTAAAGCGAAAGATCATTTGGGCTGAGGGCCCATCACCCCTCCACAGCCCATGAAACAAAACGGCGGCAAGCCTTATCCTTAACTTTCATCCACGGTTCCCCTGAAACCCCAAGAGAAACCGTATCAACTCCAACTGTATTGAAAACGAAAAGAAAAAACCAAAAGTAATGCAAGCGAACACAGGCTACAAGAAAAAAATGGCAAAATCAAATGTGAATGAATCCATAAGAACCACGACGCGTTACAAGCTGATGCAATCCGCTCAACCTTCTCCTCGCGAAGAAGCATTCGGACTTGAAAGGGTTTGTCTGATCTATTTCTACTCCATCTCCTTTATTTTGATTTGTTATGGGTTTGAAAAGGGTTTATGGGTGTGAAAGTGAAGAGCATGGGTTCTGGTTTAATGGAAGAAGTTGAAGAAATGGGTTTTAAGAGTTGTTGTTGCAGGTTCTAGGTATGAAATCGAAGGTGGTGGGTGAGAACGGTGGTCGTGGTTTGTTGTTTCACGGCGAAGATTGAAGTTGAGCAATGGTGATGTTGAGAGTTGTGGGTTTCGCTGGGTTTGTTTTGATGAATCAAAAATGGGGGTTTAAAGTGGGCTGGTACGGTTTGTTCTGGGTTTATTTCGATGAAGGAAGTTTGGATTTCGACGGAATTTTTTGAAGCGGTTTGGAAGTGAAGAAGAAGATTGAAGATGTTATTTCTTGGTTTGTTTCTGTTTGTGAGTTGAAGGAATGAGTTGGAGTAAAAATGGCGGAAGGGAGGTTGGAAAGTATGTTTTTGTAGAGAATTTTTTGATGTTCTTGTTGCCCTGTTGTTGATGTGTGGAATGATGAAGATTTGGAGTTGGAAGTTCTGAGAAGATGAAACTGATAATGGTGAAAATGGTGAGATTGATGGGGTTAAAGAGAGATTGATGGTGATTTCTAGGTTGCTCAGCTTGCAAATTTGGTTGCAGTTTGGTAGTTTTGAAAGGTTGAGAAGGGTGAAGATGGATGAGGGAGCTGGGCGGCTGGCATTGTGGCTAGGGTTTGGAGGCTCAATCTCAGATTAGGGTTTCTCTCTTTTTTTTCTATCAGCTTCCCTTCTGAATGAATAGTAACAAAATATATATGGTGTGAGATTTGGGTTTTCCTATGTTTGAAAATGCATTCTCTGCTATCACTTTCTGATGTCAAGACCATGTCCTTCCATTTTAGTAAATTTGGCTCTGCTGTCCTATTTTCTTGTCCCTGAATTTCGTCTGTTTGTGCTGACTGTATCTTCTATTATTTACTCATGATTTTCACTTGTAGTGCTTTTGTCTCTCCAACATGTGCTAACACTACTCTAATTTGAACAATTGTCTGTTCCACAATGTTGCCAGCTTGAGAAAGAGCTTCTTGGTTTCCTTTTCCATATTGCTCACCCAAGTAAACCTGGGAAGTTGGTGATGTAGGCGCAAGATCAACAACAGAGGCACCCATTCCTTTGGTAGCCATTGTGTGAAGCGCTGCAGAGGCTGTGGGATGTATTGTATGTTCTTCCTTCATTTTCAATAATTAACTAGTTAATTATTTGCCACTCTGATGAATGAATGATCCATATTCATGTATGTTGACAGTAATGATGCCAAACAGACGACTTGTTTTTATCCGATTCCTCAAGCAGCAGATTGCATATCACGTGTGGTAGAAAGAGCCAATGCACCTGTCATTTATCTTTCCTCGGATGCTGCAGAATCCGATATCCGTCTGCTTCAGTCGCTGTTATTACCATGATTGATACAGTCTTGGTCCTGGTTTGAAAAATTTGCCTTGCCCAGTCTCTTTGCATGATTACGCGGGCTTAAACTCAAACTCGGTTAGCAATGAAATGACCCTGTTATTATACACATGTTACAGGATGAATAAATATGATGCGTTTTCAGGATCCGCCGTTCTGCTGCAAGTTGGGAATGCTGGCGAGACATTCTGGCTGTTCTGTATTTGATTTCAAATTCAATCCTTCTGAGTTTGCCACTTTTGCATCTTTCTTGGCCTGCTCCTTGTTCTTGGCCAGCTTGCTTGCTGGGAAATGTAGTCTAGCTTTCAGAGGACGGGGTGCTCGTGTTTGCCTGTCAAATCCTCGCACGCAGACAAACCCTCTCCAGAAGCACTGTTGAATTTCTTGGGTTGATAAACCTTTGAATATGCTTGGTATGGAGGTTCCGAAGTGTACTGTTCTTCTATTGAGGTTCCATATCCAACTTCTGGGAACGCTAATTGGGTTAAGACTTGATTCATGGTCTGCGAAAACCTCATTGACTTGAAAATAGGTGCCGTTTAGCGGAAAGCTCCCTCTCATTGCCGTTCGACATGGTATCAGGATTGTCCCTCGAACCATCTGCGAACTTGCTTCACGGAAGCTGTTGCATGAAAAACATTCCTCCTCATTATAGAGCTGGCCAGAGCCCTGAGTGCCGCACTTTCTTTCTGGTGGTTGTATGGAATTTGCTGTCTCGCCTGGGGTCCATATAGCTAGAAGGTATTTGCCCGGATCATCAGGTTCCCACACTTCCCACCCTTCCAGAAGACAATGTGAATCTGGGAGTTCATAAACTGAATGCTTTGTGCGCAACCGGCTCACGTTCTTCAGCTTCGGTGTAGGAATGTAAGCAGCTTCTTGATTTAGAGCAACCAAGGCCTTTGACATTTCACCTTCTTGAAGTTACATGTTTGTTTGCATATAATTTTGTAAATTCATAGTGAACTCTTCTAGGTCTAGTTTGATGGTTGGAATTTCATCGGATTCCTCATAGAAAGCGTCCTCTATATCATTTTCGGATACATGGGAGCATTCTGGCTCTGGAGATGCTGGCTCTTCAATAATTGGTTGGCAAATGTTGATTTCAGAGTTTGTTTCATGTTGCCTGAGCACATCTGTTTGTAGAAGTTCTTCTGCTTGGTTTGTGTTTTCAGGGAGAGACAAGGGCAAATGATTGATGATTACTGATGGGTTCTGATCAGTTGTATTGTTTCCAGTTGTCATATCTATATCTATATTCTTCGGCTCCGGTTCTGGGAGAGGCAAGGGCAACTGATCGATGATTACTGAGGGGTTCTGATCAGTCGTATTGTTTCCTGTTACTCTTTGCACTCTTTATGATTGAATAAAACATTAATCTTCACATGTCCTGTTGCTTTAAAATGAATTTTTAATCCAATCATGGCTTGATTATATTGCTGACCAGAAGATGAAGAAAACCTGTAGTTTGACAAATCTCTTTTTTTATTGAATGCCAGGTTTGAAAGTGTGATGCAAACTGGTGTTGGCAGGTAAATTAGGGTCGCAAACTGATAAGCACGGTTGAATGCGTCAAATCCTGTTACAGCACGAATTACACGTGTTTGGCTTCAAGCATCAAAATGATTCCAACAGTCTCAAATACTCCTGTTGTAAATTGCAACACAAGTTTCTTTTGTAAACAATTTTGTAATCGTAAATGTACTTAAGCGTGATTGGCCCTTTTACAATAAAAATTACTTTTAATGACTATACTTGCGCAGTCAATAAACCCAAACGGAATTTTGAGAGATCTCTAGTATATACACAATTAATCTCACGGCCTCTTGAATCTGTTATGAGATCTAACGGGCTTGAAGTGATGCTTAGAATCCAATTGAGCAAATTTCAAACTCGAAATGAGATAAAACCATGGCCCCCACTCGACTTGAAGCATTATTTGAAAACTCGACACTAACCTGATCTGGATTTACATAATCCAAATAAAGGCTCGTAGCTCAAAACAAATCTTATTTACGGCTCGCCTAGTTTCAACACCAATGATCACCGAGTAATTCTCAATATTCGACCAAACAAAATTTCTTGTTCTTCACATAAGCTCGAAGAAAGACTTCTTAATTTGAATCTCATGGCCTGAATATAAACTAATATCGTCTTATACGCGAATGATTATAAGGATAGGAACATCCTTAAAATGGTTCACAAATGGCTTATGACTTTGACAAGACGGATATTTTTTTAGATAATCACCCACCAGAAGGGAAACCTACTCTTCACCATAATCATATACATCCTACTAGGAACTATAATTGGCAAAAAGTACACCCAGGTCTCTATGAGCAAAGTCTTAGAACATCTCATCCGTAAGCCAGACGATCATTGGGGAACAAGAAACACATCCTTGTAGATACCTGATGGAATAGAATGGGATGGTAGGACAAATTTAGGGTATGACAGATGCCCCTATCTAATTGACTTAAACCGAGTAAGGCGAAATGCTACAGCATCCTTTCTTTCGAGGTAGAAGATGATTAGATATAAAAGACCCTGAATTTGTCTGAAAGGAAGGGGAATGCCCAGCAAATACCACTACCAAAAGGATGATGTAGCGAAACAAAATCAACCCTAACACCAAAGAGGATGAAAGGGAGATAAGCTTCTCTGAAGAGATTGCCACTTATCACTGAAGATGGATAAGCTTCTCTGAAGAGATTGCCACTTATCACTGAAGATGGATAAGCTTCTCTGAAGAGATTGCCACTTATCACTGAAGATGGATAAGCTTCTCTGAAGAGATTGCCACTTATCACTGAAGATGGATAAGCTTCTCTGAAGAGATTGCCACTTATCACTGAAGATGGATAAGCTTCTCTGAAGAGATTGCCACTTATCACTGAAGATGGATAAGCTTCTCTGAAGAGATTGCCACTTATCACTGAAGATGGATAAGCTTCTCTGAAGAGATTGCCACTTATCGCTGAAGATGGATAAGCTTTTCTGAAGAGATTGCCACTTACCACTGAAGATGGATAAGCTTCTCTGAAGAGATTGCCACTTATCACTGAAGATGGATAAGCTTCTCTGAAGAGATTGCCACTTATCACTGAAGATGGATAAGCTTCTCTGAAGAGATTGCCACTTATCACTGAAGATGGATAAGCTTCTCTGAAGAGATTGCCACTTATCACTGAAGATGGATAAGCTTCTCTGAAGAGATTGCCACTTATCACTGAAGATGGATAAGCTTCTCTGAAGAGATTGCCACTTATCACTGAAGATGGATAAGCTTCTCTGAAGAGATTGCCACTTATCACTGAAGATGGATAAGCTTCTCTGAAGAGATTGCCACTTATCACTGAAGATGGATAAGCTTCTCTGAAGAGATTGCCACTTATCACTGAAGATGGATAAGCTTCTCTGAAGAGATTGCCACTTATCACTGAAGATGGATAAGCTTCTCTGAAGAGATTGCCACTTATCACTGAAGATGGATAAGCTTCTCTGAAGAGATTGCCACTTATCACTGAAGATGGATAAGCTTCTCTGAAGAGATTGCCACTTATCGCTGAAGATGGATAAGCTTCTCTGAAGAGATTGCCACTTATCACTGAAGATGGATAAGCTTCTCTGAAGAGATTGCCACTTATCACTGAAGATGGATAAGCTTCTCTGAAGAGATTGCCACTTATCACTGAAGATGGATAAGCTTCTCTGAAGAGATTGCCACTTATCACTGAAGATGGATAAGCTTCTCTGAAGAGATTGCCACTTATCATGGATGATGGATAAGCTTCTCTGAAGAGATTGCCACTTATCGCTGAAGACAGATAAGCTTCTCTGAAGAGATTGCCACTTATCATGGATGAAGGATAAGCTTCTCTGAAGAGATTGCCACTTATCACCGAAGATGGATAAGCTTCTCTGAAGAGATTGCCACTTATCGCTGAAGACAAGATAAGCTTCTCTAAAGAGATTGCCACTTATCATGGATGATGGATAAGCTTCTCTGAAGAGATTGCCACTTATCACCGAAGATGGATAAGCTTCTCTGAAGAGATTGCCACTTATCGCTGAAGACAGATAAGCTTCTCCCAAGAGATTGCCACTTATCATGGATGAAGGATAAGCTTCTCTGAAGAGATTGCCACTTATCACCGAAGATGGATAAGCTTCTCTGAAGAGATTGCCACTTATCGCTGAAGACAAGATAAGCTTCTCTGAAGAGATTGCCACTTATCATGGATGATGGATAAGCTTCTTTGAAGAGATTGCCACTTATCACCGAAGATGGATAAGCTTCTCTGAAGAGATTGCCACTTATCGCTGAAGACAGATAAGCTTCTCCCAAGAGAATGCCACTTATCATGGATGAAGGATAAGCTTCTCTGAAGAGATTGCCACTTATCACTGAAGATGGATAAGCTTCTCTGAAGAGATTGCCACTTATCACTGAAGATGGATAAGCTTCTCTGAAGAGATTGCCACTTATCGCTGAAGATGGATAAGCTTCTCTGAAGAGATTGCCACTTATCACTGAAGATGGATAAGCTTCTCTGAAGAGATTGCCACTTATCACTGAAGATGGATAAGCTTCTCTGAAGAGATTGCCACTTATCACTGAAGATGGATAAGCTTCTCTGAAGAGATTGCCACTTATCACTGAAGATGGATAAGCTTCTCTGAAGAGATTGCCACTTATCATGGATGATGGATAAGCTTCTCTGAAGAGATTGCCACTTATCGCTGAAGACAGATAAGCTTCTCTGAAGAGATTGCCACTTATCATGGATGAAGGATAAGCTTCTCTGAAGAGATTGCCACTTATCACCGAAGATGGATAAGCTTCTCTGAAGAGATTGCCACTTATCGCTGAAGACAAGATAAGCTTCTCTGAAGAGATTGCCACTTATCATGGATGATGGATAAGATTCTCTGAAGAGATTGCCACTTATCACCGAAGATGGATAAGCTTCTCTGAAGAGATTGCCACTTATCGCTGAAGACAGATAAGCTTCTCCCAAGAGTTTGCCACTTATCATGGATGAAGGATAAGCTTCTCTGAAGAGATTGCCACTTATCACCGAAGATGGATAAGCTTCTCTGAAGAGATTGCCACTTATCGCTGAAGACAAGATAAGCTTCTCTGAAGAGATTGCCACTTATCATGGATGATGGATAAGCTTCTTTGAAGAGATTGCCACTTATCACCGAAGATGGATAAGCTTCTCTGAAGAGATTGCCACTTATCGCTGAAGACAGATAAGCTTCTCCCAAGAGATTGCCACTTATCATGGATGAAGGATAAGCTTCTCTGAAGAGATTGCCACTTATCACTGAAGATGGATAAGCTTCTCTGAAGAGATTTCCACTTATCGCTGAAGACAGATAAGCTTCTCCCAAGAGATTGCCACTTATCATGGATGAAGGATAAGCTTCTCTGAAGAGATTGCCACTTATCACTGAAGATGGATAAGCTTCTATGAAGAGATTGCCACTTATCACTGAAGATGGATAAGCTTCTCTGAAGAGATTGCGACTTATCGCTGAAGATGGATAAGCTTCTCTGAAGAGATTGCCACTTATCACTGAAGATGGATAAGCTTCTATGAAGAGATTGCCACTTATCACTGAAGATGGATAAGCTTCTCTGAAGAGATTGCCACTTATCGCTGAAGACTTCTGGAGACAACTCACTGAGAAACGCCCATGGATTTACTGGAGATGCCCCTGTCCGGGCTGATTGTTGATTTGAAGATCTGATTAACCACGAGGTTTCAATACATCATGCAATACACCCATGGTCTTGAAAAGATGCCCTTGGTTTGGGCTGAATTTTGCTTTAGTGATCTTTGAATTTTGTGGGAGGACCCACGGTCTTGCGGATAATGCCCCTGACTAGGCTGATGATT